AACTAACTAACTAACTAACTAACTGTCACCTTAGTCACATACCAGTTTATAGAGATTCTGGAAAGAGCATCTCATTCCAGAGAAAGATTATAAGATATTAAAGATACTGATATGAAGGCCAGAAAGTTATTAATTGTCAAGTAGGCCTTGGACTGGGAAAATTCCCAGCTACTGCTTTTATTCCAACAACAATAAATCATTCTTCTGGCTCATTAGTACCCTTATTTCCCCAAGTTTCTAAACATGGTTCTAAACAAGGACACAGAACCGTGTTACACACCCAGAGCTGCATTAAGATCCCTGTATGCACTCTATCAACAAATCATGCATAATAAAGTAGCAATAATGTCTTAAACATTTTTTCATTATAGGATATACAAACTTTGATTTTACTTTTACAGTAATATTTTTATTTTTTAACTTAAAACAACAATGTTGCTCTTCAACTGCAGGTTTTTTTTAATGTGGTAGATGGGGAAATATATTAAGTATATGGGAAGTAATCATATTAATTGTATTAAATTACATTAAAGTACCACTATTCGAAGTATAGTCTATAGCTAGCACACCATTCAAAAGACAACTGTGACTGCTGGGAGAAGAATTCTTGATCCTCATCCTCTGAGCAATTTGTTCTGTCATTTAGTAGATTTAGTAAAAAAAAAAAAAAAAAAAAGGTTATGTTATGAAACACAATTTAAATTGTCCCTCTTTTCTTTCAGGAGTGGGGAATCCGCACCTTTTAGAAGTTGCTTAAGTACACTGCTAAGCAGCCAGCCAGCTTGGCTAATTGTGAGGCATGCTGGGAGTTGTAGTTCACCAACGTCTAGAAGGCCTAGCTGAGCCAGCCTTAGGTGGCTGATTGCTTGCTGAATCCTGAGGCTGACAATCTGCTGGATCAGCCTCAGCCTCCTCTGAATTAGAGGAGACCATGACAGGCAGCAGTGAAGAGTTTGGGTGTTTGTATCTCTTGGCTACCATCTAGCATTCATCTGGATATTTGCAGCTGAGATGCAGAAAATAGGTGTTGAAGAGCTGGAAGTAGAGAAAGGATTATGCTATGGCAGTGTTGTCCAAACTTGGCCACTTTAAGATGAGTGGAGTTTAACTCCCAGAACCAGCCAGCTATGCTTTGCTGGCTGGGGAATTCTGGGAGTTGAAGTCCACTCATCTTAAAGTGGCCAAGTTTGGACAACACTGTGCTATGGAGATTTATGTGGGAGCTATAAACTCTCCTAAGAAATTTCTGTGAGGAGAGGAAGTGAGGGTCCAGGGCCACTGTGAAGAGAATTGCCCACCATGCATGAAAACACAAGAGCTGACTCCTTTAAAATGCATTTTTAATTACAATCTCTAAGCCAGGGATGGGCCAGTCAATTTCTAGGCCACCTGAGAAGGAGTCAACCAACCCAGTTAAAAAGGATGAGACAGCTGCAGAAACCAACCTTCCTTGCAGCCAACCTGTCTTGCAGAACAGGTGCCAAGCCCCAGGACCAGAGAGAAGGGGTGGTCCCACAGCGCACCTGTCTGACCAACTGAGGTCAAGCAGATTGTTATCCCCAACCCTGTTGCGGCAAGCCTTTTCCTCCAGGTGCCATGGATTGTCTGAACAGGAGGTCTTGTGCTGGGATAAGAGGGGAAGAAAACCTTCCAGGGCAGAGCACCTAAAACCATCTTCAGGCTATCTCAGCTGCACATGGACAATGTGATACAGGTGGTTGCATCTGTATTTGGATGGGAGGCCTCCAGAGAATACTAGGGCTTTGTGCTGAGTTGGGGAGTCAAAAAATATCTGAAAGAAAACAGTAGCCAACCACTGACATGTGTTGCCACAAAAACTAATGGAAGCATGCATCCCTATAGTCACTAGGGGGTCTCTCTGTCTCCCTCCATCTCTATTAACCAGTGGCACTAAATTTGGGGAGCCTGGCTTACATATATATCCATCTGATTCTTTTGTGAGTGGAATCTGAATCGAGCACAAGAATAGATTACATTGCCATCCTTCTAGTAGATAAAACTCTGGAAGTGAAATGCAGTTTGAAATTTAATTAGTAAGCCTGATAGACATTCCAGCCAAAAGATTAATGTACTTGTCTCTAATTTACATGTTCTGTGCACAATGTGTTACCACCTGACTTGCTCAAGGTCATATGGGACAGCCAATAAGACTATAATTCCATTCCAGATAAACATTTAAAAAGCAAGCCTTGGCAGGAAAGATTTAAAAAACAATCAAACAAGTACCCAAGCCAAATCGTGCCTTGAAATCTGCCAGTGTTGAGTCACGTGCATCATACGTCCAGGAACAAAACTATCCCCAGACCTGAATCTCTGTTAGGAATGCCCTCCTGATATCCCTGAAGACTTTTGCTCTTCTGTTTCTGTCCATCGGCAGATTGGTCTTTCCTGCTCCTGTTTCAGCAGAATGGTACCAATCTATATCTTCAAAAAAACAAACAAACCCAAAAAAACACACACCCCTTTTTCAAATATAGTAATAACAATGATAACAAGTGTAAAATCCCAATTCTACATTAACTTCAGAGATGCCCTAAGGGATTCCAACAGCAGGCCATGTATTTGGGCTAATCTTTTTCTTGCTATTGAGCCCTTTTCATAATGGCTCAAAACAGGTCCAATGTTCACCATCCCAAATGGAAGATGTGAGGAAGCAATAGGGGCTGATTTTACCAAGACTTTTGCTGCTTGAGGGGACATCTGAATATAATTCAGCACGCTAAACTGAGCCCTGTCTTCATCCCCTCTCCCGCTGCATCAATTGCAATGCTATGAATACTTACCCAGGGTTAAGTCCCACTCAGTTCAGGGATATATCTGAGTAGATCAAAATAGAATTGCTTTGCCCTCCACATCTCACTCACCTTTGCTCCTGTACTGATACAATGACTCTGCCTCCTCAAGGAGTAGAGAGAATCCTCAGATTTAAATAAAAACCATTTATCCTTCAATTGGGTGTCACAGATACACCCATGTAGTTTTCATGGGAACAGCAAAGAAATAGTTAGCCACTGCCTTCTGAATTTTTTTCTTCTTTTTTTACTGCTCAGCCAAGCAAACAGCTCTGATATTCCTTGGAAGTTTCTCCTCCAGTTCTGCTTGGTGTTCAGTATAGGTAAGATCAGCCGGGCGCTGCCATGTACCAAGAGAAGACATAAAGATGGACAAAAGAAAAGATTAGAAATGAAGGAAAATAAAAGAGATGTGGCAAAGAGGGCAGGATGAAAAAAGCGAGGAAGAATCAGAGAAAAATAGACAAGTAGCAATAGAAAGGGGGAAAATGCAGAACACCCCACCAGAAAACCAGGCAGAGCCAAAAATGGGAAGGAAAGAACAGAAAACAATTAAAACAATTGTTTTTTGTGCTTTAGTGTACTTTTTCTTTTTCTCATTACCATCCTGGTTTCTCCATAGCAGTCATACAAAAGGAGAAGATGCCCCAAACAAACTGGCAGGCAAGCAAGGGTATCTTTCCATCCAGCTAGATCATGAAATTGGCTAAACTAGGTATGTATGTATGTATGTATGTATGTATGTATGTATGTATGTAGCGTATGGCATACAATGCCAGGGAACCTACAATGTTTTTACACGAGGTAGATGTTCTGGCGCCAGAGTTATGCTATCACAAGGGTGGTCTACAAACCACCTGAAGATTGGTGTAAAACCCTATCCTTAAATCCTTTGCACCATAACTAAATTATGGCTAAACATAAAAGCAGCTGATGGGAGGATAGATGGGGAAAATAATAGAAAGGAAAGCTGAGCTAACTGAAGTAAATACATCTTTGAAAATGTGAGCATAATTCAGGAACCATTCTTAAACCCTCTTCCTTAGGGAATAGGTTTTCATAAGAAAAAGAAAGATTATGGGGCAATGCTTGGTTTTCTGCCATAGAAATGTTGTGCGATCCTATTGGGCACGAAAGAGGTTGCTTTATGCATCTATGTTATTGTCTTTTCTGCTCAAGCATGTTTCTGATATGACTTTCGGCGGCAGCACTATGGATGTTTCTAAAGAAATGGGATTGGGAGAATACTTAAAATGGCTGCAAGGCCAAACTTCTCATAGCCCACGTTTCGGAAACTGGGCTGCCTATGCATGTTTCGTATTTCCTCAGAAGTACAAGCAAGCTGCAGGATGTGCTCCTAGTTCTGATTGTTCAGTTACATAGACATAGCCTATTATGTTCAAATCTGAAACATTCTATTCTATACAAATGAAAAGTTATGCTGATTTTTAGTCAGTTTGGCTTCTGGAAAGATGGCAAAGCAAGTAAGCAAAATTGTGTAGCCTATGAAAATCTGCTATTTTTCTTTCACTCCCACTTCAACACAGACACACACACCCTGCCCATAAATGAATGAATGAATGTAAAAAATCCCAAGCAAATCCAGTTTTAGCTCCTCTCATATGAGCCTGATTTCTACTTTACAGACAATAATCTATTAAGTGCTGCTGGCTGCAGAGGCAGAGCAGACAAAAATGAATCCTTTTCACTAACTTATATCCAAGCAGTTTTTGCTGACCTGTGCTGGGATTATTTCCAAGCAGCAACGTTTCTGGAAATTTATATATATTTAGAATTCAAGTAAAATTTTAACATAGTTCCTTCCAGATTACAGTTTTGCAATACCATAGTTTCCTAGAATTATGTGGATTATATACAAAGTTAATATTGTTTAAAAAATCTATTTAGAGCTAGAGGATTAAATTTTTACTCTTTTCAGATTTTTACAAATAAAGGGAAGGGCAGCAAAATAATTATTCTCAGCAGCTTCATTTCTAATCGACCTGTTCAAGGATTGCTGCTAAATATCTAAATTCACCATACTTTGTCCCAACTAATAATGTTAACTTTTTGCTTAGAGAGGCCATGTATAAATTCAGTAGAAAACTGGGACATGAAGATGTTACAACATAACCTTGATAATAGAGTGATATAGTTAACTTCCTTTTCAAAATCTAGCTTTCGAGTCCAAGCATTTTGCCTGAACTAGTTTAGAGCAAATGGGCAGGATGCAGCCCAAGCACACTGCAACTGGGTATGACCCCAACCAAGGATAAAGCTCTCTCCACCATTATCAGTCTCTGCCAACGTTCTGTGAAGAAGCATTGAAAGTTGGGGACGTGTAGCTTGGAGAAGACTAAGGGAAAATATGCAAAAGGATATTAGAAGAAAAAGGAGTAGATTTCCAATGGGCTGGATTATA